TCTCTCTCTCTCTCTCTCTCTCTCTCTCTCTCTCTCTCTCTCTCTCTCTCTCTCTCTCTCTCTCTCTCTCTCTCTGTGTGCCAGCACACAGCGGCAGGCTCCGCCGTGAGCAGCACAATGCCAACAACACGAACTGTTGCCGTTTCAGAGTAATGTTTGCATTAATCCGAAACGGCAACAGCCTTGCTGTTGCCCGGGCCTGGACCCGGCCCCCCCATCGAGTTGCGCCGCGGCGGCACTGCGGCCCATACAGTCGTGGACCGCTAAAACGGTCGAAAATCACCCTAAATGGCCCACGGGCTAGGCTACCAGCCGGGCCGCCCGGGTCACCCTATTTCCCCGGACAGCCCGGCCGTGCAAGGCCCAGGGAAGGTCGTAGCAAAAATATATATATATATATATAAAAAATCCAAAAAAAAACTGTGTCATGCAGAAAAATAAACTGAACAACGTTTGCCTATGGTTCTTATCGAAATTCTGTACCAAATTTAAAATAAGAAATGAAGTTCAAAAATACGTTTTTTTTTTTTTTTTTTTTCCGTTGTGCATTTTTTTTTCGCGACCAGCAACATCAGAAAAAAAAACAAAAAAATATGGGCGTGCAGGGTTTTTCAGCCCCGCACGCCCTTTTTTTTTTTTTTTTTTTGCCCTAACAGATACGAAAAAAAATTCATGCACCAAACTCGATCGTTCGGCCTTGGCCGAACCTGGCCGATTCGGCCGCTGGGCACGGCCGCGGCCGAGTGCCCCGGCCGTGACCGGCCGTGCAATGTAGCCGGCCAGATCTTCAGCCTCCACTGGAGTAGCCATCTGGCTCCCACCCTCTTGAAGGTTAGAACCGACGAACTGTTACAATCTGACTGGGACAAAAGGCAAGGTAGATAGATTTGGCTCAAAGTACGGGCAGGCGAAGAAATATTATACATAGTCTTCATCTATGCCCCATGCAAACAGGCTCAAAGAATGGAGTTGCTCTTGGATCTTTTGGACAAGCTCCCACAAGACGCTCCGCTAATCCTGTTAGGGGACTTCAATACCACCTTGCAGCCAACAATGGACAGAAAATCGTCTTCACAGTCGAGCTCCATGCCCCACAGTCAGCCAAGCCCATACGCCCTCTTGCTATCCCAACTTATGGCAGACCTCCAGTTGGAGGATACGTTCAGAATAATCAACCCAACACAAAAACATATGCATGCCTGCATTCAAACGGGAAGGCGGTCTTTCAAACTCAATAATTGACCTAAATCTGCTCTCATTAGACATCACCAGTCTCCTCTCAGCGGCTGAAATACTCCCAATAAGCCCCCGCAAATCCTTCAATCATAAAATGATCATGATTAGACTCTCCTTTCACGAACACATCCAAAGAGGCCCGGGATTTTACAAATTCAATACTTCGCTCCTTAAACTGCTCTCTTTCCAAACCCTGGTGAAGGAATTCTGGAATTACTGGCAATCAACCAGACCACTACAATGAGAGGTGGTGGTATGATTCAATAAGGAAATGCCATAAGGCCCATAACTAAGGGAAAGGGTTAAAAAATTCTTCGTGAAACATGCAAGAGACCGAAAAGTGATCTTAAATCGGCTACTTCTCAATTTGGAAGAATGGGACAACCAACTGACAGAGCACCACCTGGACATGGAATTGTTCAACAAGCTCCAGGCAGCAAGGGATCTATTACAAGAGCATCTGGAACAACATGCTCAATCCTGGAGAATCAAGGCAAAAAAAAAAAAAGACCAAAGTGAAGGCACAATGGCCAAACATTTCTTCAGGAAGGCAAAGGCCAGAGCAAGACAAAGCACAATAGTTGCTCTAAGACACCCCTTCCTCCATGATAAGCCGACAGCATGGAGTGCCTACCACATAGTGGACTACGCCTCAGATTATTACAAGAACCTCTTCACATCCCAAACTCACCAAAGGGACCCACAAGTCATCAGCGAAGCCAGAGCAACCCTAACAAACGCCATCTCTTTTTGTCTCTCTACCCAACAACAAGACCATCTGGACGCCCCACTTTCAGAGCAAGAAATATGGGACGCCCTCAAACAAATGGACGACGAGAAGACACCTAGCCTAGACTCCTTCCCTAAGGAATTTTGGACTTACTTCTGGCAGGACCTTCATGACGACCTCGTGCTCTATGTTAGGGATGTGCAGAGACAAGGCATCTTTGGAGGATTAATGAATCAAGGGGTCATAACCCTCCTGTACAAAAAGGGGGACAAAGAGGACGTACGGAACTACCGTGCGATGACACTCCTCACACTCCCATACAAAATGGTGGCAAAAGCCTTAACCATCAGGCTACTCCCCTTTATGAATGTCTTGATTCATACTGATTAATCCGACTTCATGTCGAATAGGAATATCCAAGACAATATCCTCCTAGTCAATGAAACTATCAGATGCGCTAGACAGCGGAAGGTAGACGCAGCGGTCATTTTCATTGACTTCGAAAAAGCATACGACCACGTAGACTGGGATTTCCTAGATCTGTGCTTGCACATAATGAACTTTGGGAAAACCTTCTGCAGATGGGTAAGCATCCTCCACAGATCAGCAGCCACCAACATCATGATAAACGATCATCTTTCCCCTCCCTTCGCTCTCCAACTGTCTGTCAGACAAGGGGATCCAATCGCCCCGTTCCTCTTTGTTATCGTCATGGAGGCCTTGGCGGCCCTCATAAGATCTAACCCCCAAGTCCAAAAGATAGACATACCAGAAATTTCACAGCACCTCATACCAGTCACTTCCCTCTTTACAGACGACCTGACTGTGTTAATCCGTGCCAACGAACAAAACTTGAAAGTTAGAGGAAGTTGTCAACCTTTTCTTAGTGGCAGCTGACATGAAAGTGAACTGGGGAATAAAAACTGAAGGGTGGTGGTTACATTCCCAGGACCAACCTCCCCCGGCTCAACCCAGTGTCAACTGGAGAGGAAAGGAGGAGGCCATAAAAATCATGGGGTTGAAACTAACAGCGCTGGGCCCCCCGAGGGACCACGACGATAACCTTGTCGACACGGCCCTCAGAAGGATCACGAATTGGAAAGGCCTCCACACCTCCATTGTGGGAAGGGCCCTAGCCATAAACAACTCAATTCTTGCAGCCATCTGGTACAAAACCACATTTTGGAAACTCTACCCAAAACAACTAGCAAGATTTAGGAGAGCGGTAGCTACTTACCTCTGGAAGAATACAGACGCTGAATCCAGATGTATGTACCGAGTGGCCTGAGAGCAGATTGCTCAACCACGTTGGAAAGGAGGATTGGGAATAATAGACCCAGGGGATGAAATAGACACCCTAATTTTCAAATTCATCATCAGATTACTACTCGGTAACGACATCCCTTGGGCCCCCTCTGGCTTACATCCAGCTATCCTGCTTCA